GTACCTGAGGCACGCAGAGGAGACTTGACCAAAGTTGCCAGGATTGAAATGAGTGGAGCTGGAATGTGAGTGGGCCTCTGCTTCTCAGTCTGTCCTGCCTTCCTTCCCTGGATTCCCTGGGCTGCCCCATATTTAGATTGTAGAGCAAATGGAAGTCTAATTGGGATGTCCCGGGGAGATTCACTAGATAGCATATGGCTTTTGATTAACTTATTGGTCATAGGACTAGGCATTTTGAAGATTTGGGAAGCATCTTATTATGTGCCCCATGGGATAAAGAAGTGCACCAGAGGTGAAGAACAAGTTACCTTTCGAGCACTTTGCTCACAGGAAAGATTTCTCCTGAAAATTTTCACACGTTCAGAAGATAGGAACCTATGAGCATGGGGTAGGTTTAGAGAAAGAACACTTTCACTATTATCCCTTGGTTTTATTCTTGTAAACTATTTCAAAACTACCTGCCAATTTCAAAACCACTTGTATATCCCAGTTCTTTGGCTTGGTGAATAAAGGAAACTTTTATAACATCTGGAAAGATGAGAATGTCAAGCAAATTATACTTCCCAATGAAATCATTCTGTTGTAGGCTTTAAACATGTTGGTTAACAACCTCAGTACATTGTCACTGAAATGATTTGAAGAGAGGGGCCCTTCATATCATAATTAGCTACTTCAGAGCAAATTGGAAGATGGGGTGGGGGACTCTTAGAAGCAGTAGGAGGAAAATATAATAGAAGCAGTTCATGAAGACGTTTTCATTTCAGTTTTAGCACAGCTTTGACTGTATATCTGGCAGATTAGCATACCCTTGTTGCTATTTATTCATCATAATATTTATGTGTGAGAAAAAGTGGTTGTAAAGTATAATTTGTTTGAAAGTTGTTCTTATGCCTTGGAATGAAAGGTACTGGGCAAGTACAAATATAAGCATGATTATTTTTATTATCCTTGGTTTAAATTCACAACTTAAAAGGGCAGTGATGAGGGACGGGTTCCTAACACCCAGGAGTTTACGACAGGCCTCTGAAGTACAACTTTGGATAGACTCTAAATATGAAAAACATGTCTGGCCCAGGAAAACAGATTTGACCTTTTAAAAAATTTTATTTTCCATTAAGATAATGCTAGTACATGGGCTTTTTCCTAAAAAAAATCACTCAAATTCTGTGAGTTTTATAAGTTTGAAAGCACATGGCCGAGGCTGTGTGCATGCATAGATGAAAGGAAAAGGCCCCTACTTGAAGAAAGAAGTGAAATAGCGGAAAGAGAGGCAAAGGAAAAATAAAATCAAATTGAAATCAAAGGAGAGGTAAAAATGTCAATGGATAAAAATAGAAGAGTCCCAATCTTCTTGAATATTTTATGGCGAGCTTTAGAGTGAGCTTGATCACCCAAAGGACACACCACAGGGATTAGTGTTCGAAAATGAACAACAGATGTTGGATGTCAACAGACAATATCCCAGTGGGTGAAGAGCATTTAGGGTGAAAGAAAGTAAAACACATTGTCAGGTGGTCTCTGGTTCTTTGGGTAAATCTTTTATGTGGAATAAGTTTCTCGGGCAGCTATCAGAGATTCATTGGAGCAACCCAATGGTTTTTCTGGTTAATGGGCTCCTAAGTGAACATGGGAGGAAAATTAATTAAGCAATGGTCACTTACAGAATAGAATACATTCTATATATAAGTCACTGTGCTTTGGCAGAAATCCTTCCCTGAAGGGGATTGCAACTGAGAATGATTCTACGATTAACAAACGTCTCTGAGCAAGTTGACTTGGGTGGAGACGAATCACTGCTCTTTGCATCACTGGGACTTACTCAAAAACATCTTCCCTGGCCATCATATTTCTAAGGTGACTATACTCTACCTTCTCAGTGACTCTTTATTCCATTACCATGTTTTACTGTCTTAATACTATTTATCTGAAGTTTTGTGTAGGTATTTGTTTCCTTGTGTATTATGTGTCCCTCCCACCAGAATATAAGCTCCATGGAATTAGGGATGACCTTTTTTTTTTTGTCATATGTACCCAGTGCCTAGAATAGTGCCTGGCACCTGGGTTGGAACTTCAAACTGCATCCAGTGGTATTTCAGACACAATATTTAATTCTAGAACTTAAATGAAGAACAAATACATTAAGTCATTATGGTAAACAGAGAAGATAGAAGTCAGGGAGAAGGGCAGATGGAGGAGAGAGGTACTTCATAATTTGCATATCCTTCACATTTCTTGACTTATGGATTGAGAAAGTGCCAACTCTGGGCAGCTGAGTGCAGTCAGCCTCTGGTCAATCTGGATGTCTCTGAGAAACTTGCATGAAGTGACAGGACAGGCTAGATGTGCTGTCTTTATTTCAAGTGAGACCACGGAGCATCAGATATAACCATCAGCTCATCCCCAATTCATTTCCTTCCTTCTCCTGCCCACCACTTCCAAACAAAATACTGAGGATTAATGTTTTATTCTCAGAAACTCAGACACTCACAGTTCTGCCAAAGTAATTAATCTATCCATTATCTAGTATATAGTCTTTGATTGCATACTAAGTACATAGTGGGGCCTCCCAAAGTGAACGAGACATAGCTTTAATTCCGTATGGAATTATTGTTAACAACTAGTAAATCTCTGGCTGGCATTGTGAGTCATAAGACTCCATGCTTACTCTTCTCAGTGGAGGGTAATGACCTATTAAGATCCTCTGGCCTCTAGCTTTGTTCCTTCACTTTGGGGCATCAGTGGGAAAAGGGGAGATGTAGGAATTGAATCTGTTTACCTACTCTTCACTGAAAATGAGACAATGATTTACTAACGTGTTTCAAAAATGATTGTCATCTTAAATTATGAACAAAATTATTCTGCAAAGCACTTCTTTGAGCTCTGTTTCTCCCATTAATTTAGTGAGCTGGTTTCTCTACTGTGAGGGATAAGTCTGTTCACCAGTGAGATTGAATGCCTACTGTGTTCTAGGCACTGGGGAAGCAAAGATGAGGTGGACAGCACCCTTGTCCTCAAGGTGCTCACAGTCCAATGGAGGACACAAATCACAACCACAAAATAGTGCAAAAAGAACACAAGTGTGTATAAGGTCCAACAGTAGCCCGGAAAAAGAGCAGTTAACTCTGAAGAACGAGTGGAATAAAGATGATGGGGAGATGATCCAAGCCAAGGATGTCTACCTTTCTGAAAAGAGGAGCTACTTTGAGTCTCTCCTGAGTGTTCAGCTCATTGAGACATGAGGGATGAAGGCACCACCCTCGTGGGATGGGTGGCAGGGCTGGCTGGCCCTGGAGTGCTCCTGAGTTGGTTCCAAGGTTAGTTCTCCATCTAAGCATTGAGGTTATGGATGCCACATTGTTTTAGCATTGAGAGTTTGTTGGGAGATGAGTCTAGCTTATATTTTTCATAAAGGCAAGTTTCTTCTAGTCAGTCCTGGTGGTCTAGTGGTTAGGATTTGCCGTTCTTACCACCAGGGTCCAGGTTCGTTTCCTGGTTAGATAACCTTACCACCCTTCTGTTGGTTGTCATGCTGTGGTGGCTGTGTGTTGCTGTGATGCTGAAAGCTGTGCCATTGGTATTTCAAATACCAGCAGGGTCATCCATGTTGACAGGTTTCAGTGGAGTTTTCAGACTAAGACGGACTAGGAAGAAGGACCTGGCCACCCACTTCCAAAAAAATTGGCCGTGAAAACCCTGTGAATAGCAGCAGAGTATTGATATAGCACCTGAAGGGAAAAGGATGGCACAAAAGGGCCGGGCAGGATTCAGCTCTGCTGTACACAGCATTGCTAGGAGTCGAATTGATTCGATGGCACTAACAACAAAAGTTTATTCCATTTGAAGAAATATCCTTTAATCTGAGACTATGCCTAGTTTAGTGTTAAAAATATTTCTTTCACAAAATGACGGTGATGAAAGGTTGTTTTTGTTGTCTTAATGCCTTTATTTGGCAGAGATATACCTGGGATCAGGAACCAAAGATCTGAAAAGGGGATCAGCAGAAAAGGGAACGGGAGTCAGGAGCTCCTGGCAAAGAGAAAAGGTAGAGATGCAGAGGAAAGAGAGCAGTGGCCATAGTAAGAGATCTGTCAGTCTATGTTCCAGCAGGGAAATAGGTGGTGAGAAGGTAAGAGGAACTGGAGAGCCTGAAAGCAGGTAGGGGAGGGGAGATAGACCTTCTCACGTTTGTCCTTTGCTAGCCTACTGAGAAGCTGCTGCTTTATCCAGTAATCAGACAAGTGTGGGTTTGAGCTTGAGTTCTTTCACTTACTAGCTTTCTTAGGAGTGCTATGAGGATTTAATAGTGATCATTCAAATGATGCTTGCTTAGCAGAGTGTCTGGGACATAGCAAATGTTCAAAAACTATTATTACTACTATTACTCCTGTTACCAGTAAGTAGTCTTATTACCACTAAACTACCACTACCCACCCTGAAGCAGGACCCACCATCAATCAGCTTTGGGACAAGATGAGAAGTAGGACCTGCATGCTGGGGGGTGGGGGAGTCCCAGGAAGCTATGGGGTTTGCAGCAGAGGAGAAAGAGAAACCCCAAGTATACAAACAGAGAGGTAGAGGGAGTCCTGCATCTGCTCAGCTGAGGGTGTGGGCAAATTGGGCTTAAGTTAGTCAGGGATGAAGAGAGCAAACAAAAAGCAGTTGCCATAGGAAAATCACTGGAAAGATAAAAGTAAGTAACTAGAATGACAAAGATATTAAAAAAACCAAAGTACAAATTTATGTTGCCAGATTATGAACAGAATCTGTGTGTTAAACTATTTTGTGCTATAACTGTGACCCTCCCTTTCAGATGATGATGCCATTCCTCTTCTTGAGGGTTTCATACACCTTGGATTTAAATTAACTGTATAAATCTCTTTATTCAATCTCTCTTAACCAGTTTTTAAACTAGCTTCTCTGTCTTACAGTTTAAAAATAACACAAAGATATCAGTAATGACAGAAATATGTAATTCTCTTGCTATCTTAATTTGATTTAAGAAGAGAGCCAGTGGAGAGAGTAACGAGCCTTCCATTAAAGAAGAGCGTGGAGGAGATAGACTGGAGCTGGTGTGCGCCCGTGATCCCAGAGTTCTAGAATCTCATAAACTCACTCGCTCATAAAACATGGGTGAATACTGGGAAATGCAGGTAAGAATGAATCTCAAAGCCCCTGCCTGAGAAGAGTTTACAGTCTTGGGAATTAATGAAACATATAAAAACAATTACAATAAGATGTGGCAAATAGAGGCTCAAAGAACTCACTGTGGGACCCCAGAAAAAATGCCTGACCGTTACTGGGTGGTCATTGAAGACTTTTAGAGGAATGCAGGCTTAATCACCAGGACAGGAATTGTCAGCGTAGATTTGAAGGTTGAGGGTTGGAGGGGTGGGTGGGGAGGGATTTTTAGGGTAGAAAGCTTTCTGTAGAGAGCATGTTCCTTTGAGAGAACAAGTAGTTCAGTGTGGCTGGAACATAGGCTACCTATGGGGAAATGGCAGAAGATGTGGCTAGGCAGGGGCTAGATCAAAAGCGGATTTTCATGCCTTCACAACAAATTTGGATTCATCCTGTAGGTGGGGAAGCGCTTTGACCAGGTGGCATTTTAGAAAGATACTCTGGCCCTGAGGAGGAGACTAAATGAAGGGATTTGAGACTGAAGACAGGGACTCAGGGTAGGAGGATACTTCATGGCGTAGTTGGGGAGTCACAAGGCTTAAACTGAGGCAGTGGTGGTGGGAAGAGAGGGGAGGGGAGGGAGAGGACTTGGGATGTGTGTACGTGGTGATGGTGGGTGATGGGGATGGAGAGGGAATCTTAGATTATGTTTTGAATTCTCTTAAGCGGTGAGTAGCTGGGGATGCTAATCACCGATTTAGAGGATACAAAGCAGACAAGGTTGAGGGCCGTCTTTGAAATATACTCTGTTCTCTGAATAAAGATCTGTAAAAGCATTTTAGATAAAACGCTTGCCCATGCTTCCAAATTTCCCATCTCCCAGACTTCGTGCTGTTTCCTTCACTGAGAACGTCTTCCTCCATGCTTCTGCAAACTCGAGAGCTATCTCTTCTTCTAGGTCCAACACAAATTCCAGCTTTTCCAGCAAGCCTTCTCAGATTCTCCATCAGCCAAGAGTAATCTGTTCAGTGGTTCACTCATATGGCTCTTTTATTCTGAGAAGCAGTACAGGATTGTTTTAAGAATGTGGGTTCTGGAGCCAGACTGTGTGGGTTTAACTTGGCCTTTGCAACATCTGAGTTGTGTGATCTAACCACTCACTGCTGCCATTTTCTCATCTGTAAAAGGGGCTAATATTAGTACCTACCTTGCAAGCTTATTTGAGTGTTAAATGAGTTCACTCAGATAAAGGAATTCGAAAAGTGCCGGGCACACAGTAAGTGCTCAATAAATGGTGGCTGTTACTGTCATCTCTCTTCTGGTACTAAGCCCTTCCTATATATATATATATATATTTTTTTTTTTTTTGAGGAACATTAGCCTTGAGCTAACTGCTGCCAATCCTCCTCTTTTTGCTGAGGAAGACTGGCCCTGAGCTAACATCCGTGCCCATCTTCCTCTATTTTATATGTGGGACGCCTGCAGCAGCATGGCTTGCCAAGTGGTGGCATGTCGAGACCCGGGATCCAAACTTGCGAACCCTGGGCCCCCGAACCAAAATGTGCTCACTTAACTGCTGAGCCACTGGGCCGGCCCCCCTTCCTATATTATATTGCAGTTACTTATGTAAACATCCCTGATGAGATTGCCAACTCCTTGAGTGTGGGAATCACCTTTTGAATTTCTTTCTACACCGATCATAATGCCTTACACAACAAATATTTATTGATCCATTGATCTATTCTGTACTATTGTTTTTGACTGCAGAGTTTTCTTGTTTAGGACAAGCACTACATTTCAACCTGTTTTGGGGCTTGAGGCATCAGCTAGTGTTTTAAACAATTTGAGAGTTTATAGTTGACGGTCAAGACATGTTGTCCTTCATATTTATGGTTTCCTTGCTGCTGAATATTTGATCAGAAATGCAACCACCAATTATTTCATTTTTCTAGTGGGAAACATGATCTTCCTTATGACTCAGTTTCTAGGAATGGTGAAAATTGAGGACTATTTGTGCTTTGCCAAAGAACTTTAATATATATTATCTCAGATCTCATAATTTCTTAGTTTTTGTACCTACCTCATTGACCCTAAGCCAAGAGAGGGACTTGCTATACAATTGTCCTCCCACACAATAATTGTGTGGTCTAATAATTCTAGAACATATTTTCCCAGTTTAAAGGTGAGTATATGTATCTGAGTTTGTGTGTCTCGCCTGCAATTTTCTTTTTTTGTAGTGTCCTTATCTGGTTTTAGTATCAGGGTAATGCTGGTCTCACATTCCAAATGAGTCTGGAAGTATTCCTTCTTTTTCAATTTTTTGGAAGAGTTTGAGAAGGATTGGTAATAATTTGTTCAATGTTTGGTAGAATTCACCAGTGAAACCACCTGGTCCTGGCCTTTTATTTCTCGGGAAAATTTTCATTACTGATTCAGTTTCCTTGCTCATTATTGGTCTGTTCAGGTTTTCTATTACTTCATGATTCAGTCTTGACAAGTTGTATGTTTCTAGGAATTTATTCATTTCTTATGTTATCTAATTTGTTGGTGTATAATTGTTCATAGTAGTCTCATGATCCTTTGTATTTCTGTGGTATCAGTTATAATGTCTCCTCTTTCATTTATAATTTCATTCGAGTCAACTCTCTTTTTTGCTTAGTCTAGCTAAAGATTTGTCAATTTTGTTTATTTTTTCAAAAAACCAACTCAGTTTCATTGATCTTTTCTATTGTCTTTCTGGTTTCTATTTCATTTATTTTTGCTCTAATGTTTATTTGCTTCTTTCTGCTAACTTTGGGCTCAGTTTATTCTTCTTTTCCTAGTTCCTTGAGGTGTAAAGTTAGGTAGTTTATTTGCAATCTTTCTTTTTTTCTTAATATAGGTGTTTATCACTATAAACTTCCTTCTTAGAACTGCTTTGCTGCATCTCATAAGTTTTGGTATGTTGTGTTTAATTAAAAATCTCAAGATATTTTTAAATTTCCTTTTTGATTTCTTTTTTGACCCATTGGTTGTTTAGAAGTGTGTTATTTAATTTCCACATATTTGTGAATTTTCCAATTTTCCTCCTGTTATTGATTTCTGGTTTCATACCATTATGGTCAAGAAAGATACTTATATGACATCAATCTTCTTAAATTTAGATTTGTTAAGACTTGTCTTATGACCTAACATATGATCTATCCTGGAGAATGTTCCATGTGTGCTTGAGAAGAATGTGTGTTCTTCTGCTGTTGTGTGGAATGCTCTGTATATGTCTGTTAGGTCCATTTGGTCTAAGGTGTAGTTCAAGTGCATTATTTCCTCATTGATTTTCTGTCTGGAGGATCTATCTATCTATCCATGGTTGAGAGTGGGATATTGAAGTCCCCTACTATTATTGTGTTGCTATTTCTGCCTTCAAAAAAAATAACAATGTCAATAATTGTTTAATATATTTAGGTGCTCCGATATTGGGTGTGTTTCTATTTTAAATTGTTATATCCTCTTGATGAATTGACCCCTTTATCACTGTATAATGACCTTCTCTGTCTCATCTTGTTACAGCTTTTGTCTTAAGGTCTGTTTTGTCTGATATAAGTAAAGCTACTCCTGCTCTCTTTTGGCTTCCATTTGCATGGAATATCTTTTTCCATCCACTCAATTTTAGCCTATGAGTGTCATTAAAGCTTAAGGAAGTCTCTTGTAGGCAGCGTATTGTTGGGTCTTGTTTTCTTTTTTTCTTTTTTTTTTTTTTTATCCATTCAGCCAGTCTATTTCTTTTAATTGGAGAATTTAATAATTTGCGTTTAGAATAATTATTGATAGGTAATGATTTGCTATCATCATTTTGTTAATTGCTTTCTGATTGTTCTGTAGTTCCTTTGTTTCTTTCTTCCTGCCTTTCTTTGTGAATTGATGATGTTTTGTAGTGGTATGTTTTTTGATTCTTTTCTCTTTATCGTTTGTGTTTCTATTATGTTTATTTACTTTATGACTGCCATGAGACTTTCATAATACATCTGATAGTTATAACAGTCTATTTTAAGCTGATAACAATTTTAACTTCAACTGCATAAAAAGTTCTACATATTTACTTGCTTCTCCCTCATTTTACATTGTTGATATCATAATTTATCTTGTAATATTATATATCCATTAACGAAATATTGTAGCTGTAGTTATTTTATCACTTTTATCTTTTAACCCATATACTAGAGTTCAGAGTGATTTACACACCACCGTTACAGTATAAGAGTATTTTGAATTTGACTATATATTTACCTGTGCCAGTAAATTTTATACTTTCATATGTTTTCATGTTAGCAATTACCATCCTTTTGTTTCAGCTTGAAGAAGTCCTTTTAGCATTTCTTGTAAGGTAGGTCAAGGGGTGAGAAATTCCCTCTGCTTTTGTTTGTTTTGGAAAGTTTTTACTTCTTCATTTCTGAAGGGCAACTTTGTTGTGTAAAGTATTGTTGGCTGGCAGTTTTTTTCTTTGAACACTTTGAATATATTATCCCCTTCTCTACTGGCCTGCAAGATCTCTCCTGAGAAATCTGCTGATAGCCTTACCGGGGTTCTCTTGTATGTGATGGTCTTTTTTCCTCTTGCTGCTTTCAAAATTCACTCTTTGTCTTTGATTTTTGAGAGTTTGATTATGTGAAGATCTTTGGGTTGAATCTGTTTGGGTATCTTTGAGCGTCATGAACCCACTTAGCCCTAAATGTCTCTTAACTGCTCTGCCATTTTAGGTTTTCAGCTATGCTTTTTTGTTTTGTTTTGTTTTGTTTTGTTTTGTTTTTAGTTTCTCCTTCTCTGTCATGCTGAATCAACCACCAAGGTGTGCCAGCTAACTACAGTCTGAAGCCTCCAACCAGACCTCTGCTTATGGGCCTGGTTGTATGGTCACATGAATCCAGGCAACTGAATATGGCTATAAAGGCACAGACTTTACTCTTAAGGTCTCAGGAAGACCACCCAACAGCAAGGGAAACTGAAGGTGAAGTCTACATATGCAGGCTTTGAAGAACATGATGACACATGGGGACCAGCCAGAAGATATATGACGCTTGTTAAGCTGGAGCAGCTCAGATGATCTGTTTAGCTGTGGGTAGCTCCTCTGGATTTAAGGGGCTTCCTTTTCATGGTCTCATCTTCTGCAGGAGGCAGCTTTTCCAGAAATAAGCCTCTGAACGTGGGGCTGAGGCAATGATCACAGGGATCTGGTGTCAGCCATCATTTTATGATGCTCCGTGAATTCTTCAGAGGCTTCTCTTTACACTTTCTAAAGCTGCCATATTTCCCTATGAGTTGGAAAATATTTTCTACCCATTCTTGATAGAAATATGTGTGAAAAGAGGATAAATAGGTTCTAACCCTGGTTTTATTTGTAAAATACATGTGCTTTAGTTTGTTGAGCTTACAGTGTCTCTTTTGAAGGCCTTTCTCTTTTGCTTGGTCCTTGGCTATACAGGGGGATAGTTGAGGTCACCAAATAAATGACTTCCAGGTTAGAGAATTATTACGTCTCTGAAACTGCTATTGAAATGATTTTTGTCAGCATTTTTCTGGAAAAATGCATCAAGTTTTTATGCTTTTAAGGGCATCTTCTTTGTTCTTTAAAAGTAAATATTATTTAACACTATCCACAGCTTCATTTTCCTGTTTAATTTTTTAGGATTTTTTTAACAATCGAGGTTTGTGATGCTGATATAGTTTTTTAAATACTCTGAAATGTAGCTCACTGGGGCATGTAGATTAATTATATTTATCTTAGTAAAGAACATTGTTTAAATTCTCTCTTCTTCCTTTCCTTTTTTCCTCATTCCTTCTTCCATTTCCCCTCTATGGGCACGTAGGCTCATTAGACTCAACTTCTTCCCTCCCTTCCTTCCTTCATCCTGTATTTAGTTAGCTCTTACTGTAGTCTTAGTGCTCCCCTCAGGAGTTTACCCTTCAGTAGAGAGGGCAAAATGTTCACAAGTTTCATAATGAAATACAATATGTGTTTAAATGCTACATGAGTTACAAATTGTGTTACACCTTCATGAAGGAGAGATAATTCCTGGTTGAGTGATGTAACCGAGATTAATGTCTTGCAGACTGAGTTTCTAAAGAACACAGTTGGGAAATATCAGAATGAGGATGGACTAGGTTGGAGAGGTAGGGTGAGGGCAAAGCCTGGAGGGCCTTGAAGGTCAAACTAAGGACTGGATACTGTCAGCACATCTATTCTTTGCCTAGAATGAGCCTAATATTGTGTTGGAACACGCCTAGCATTGGAACAGGAGCCATGATTAACTAGATTTGAATGGGGAAAGGGCAGAATCTGGACTGAGGACTGGGCAGAGCAGTAGGTGCTATCTCTTTTGACCAGTCAGCCCCTGCCTGCACCATCCAACGGGGAAAGTGAGCTATGAGAAGGCAGACGCAGTTGATCAAGGGCCGTATCAGCAGTGGGGACACAACAGTTACAGAGCGGGAGGCCAGAGCAGAGATTCAGGTGAGTCCAGATAAGCTCAGAAGCCAGGCATATTTTTATGTCTTTTGGCTTTCTTTCCATTTCTTTCCTCTATGTCACTGCTAATTTTGTTTCTTTCCTGCTCTTCCTTCTCTCATCGTTTTCTCCACTCTTCTTGCTTTTTTATTTTTCACGTATTCTTTTGCTCTGTCCTCTTTCCTCTTCAGCTACCCTCTGCCCAATATGAAAGCCCTTTCTCCTCCTCGTCCTCATCTTCCCTTTGACCAGCTCTATCTCAAGTATTTTTCTTTCTTTTCCTCAGTTCCTGGAGTGGGGAGACATTTTCCACTGTTAGGTAGATGTCAGCCTGCAGTTCTGGGGACCTTTCTGAGCTACCTTTCTATCTCTCCTAAATCCTGCTCTAAAATTTCTATTGACAGCCTCAGCCTCATTCTTGACTTTAGTGGCCTCTATTAGCTCTCAGTCTTGCTTAACATCTGCGTTGTACTAATAGTGATATGTTCTTGGACTGTGCCCACTGGTTTCTTTAGCTTTTAGAAATTTTAAATTGTTCTTTCTGTTCTCCACTTACAATAAATGTAGCTGGGGACCATACCAGCTTGATTAACTCCGAAGCAGTGGTTCTCTACTGGGTGATTTTGTCTACGAGGGGACATTTGGCCTTGTCCGGGGGCATTTTTGGTTGTTGCAATTGGGTAGAGGGGAGAGATGCTGGCATCTAATAGTAGAAGTCAAGGATTCTGTGAAACATCCTACAATGCACAGGACAGTCCCTTCCAAAAGAGAATTATCCAGCCCAACATGTCAAGATTACTGAGACTGAGAAACTCTGATCCAAAGGTATTTATCTTGGAGCTATGTCAAATATGTGAATAATAATAGGACTAATCAAAACCAAATTTAATTGCAATCAATTAGGGTAAACAATGGGGGCATCTTGAGATGGCAAACAGTAAATGTGCCTGTGTTAATAACAACAAAAATAATTCTTTGTGCTCTACCCGTCTACTGATTTTTACTTATAAAAATTATGTTCATTAGCTTTCCCCACCCGACCCAACAACCTGGTGAGTTTGGTGTGGGAGATATATTTGGAATGTAAGGAAACTGAAGCATTGAGAACAAGATGACCCTCCTTAGGACCCCAGCCATATACAGATTTATGGATTTTCATCCAAGGCAAAAATGCAGGGCTGTTCGTACAGCTTAACTGGAGCTATACTGGCAGAAAATAAGGGCAGGAACCAAAGCTGCTGTCACAAAGAAAGGACTCTCCCAGTTCTCTATTTGGTATTTAAAAATAGGAGAGAAAATGGCATAGCTTGAATCTGAGATAATGCTTGCCACTTTGTGAATGTTCTTACAGTGCATTGCCTTCGAAACAAATTGGCCCTCGTCTACAAAGGTTTCTTTTTTGTACTCTCACAAACTCATTTTTAATGGCTTGTATGGCATCAGTTGTGCCCCTGAGCTGTAATGAAGCACTCTGCAAGTCACCACACGCGTCAGAAATGAATCTCATGGAGGGGAAAATGCTGGAGCATTAATAGGTTTTAATCCAAGGTAAGCAAACCTATTGGGCCACTACCATGTGCTTTTTAAATCTAAATGTCATGAAATTCTCAGCAGTCTTCTCTTGCCTGCACATCAGTTTTGGTCCAGAGACAGCCAAGTAGGGATCAGAAGGGAAAAATCTAAAATGCACATATCTGCCCAGGCGCGCACCTTAAGGAGTTTACAAGTACCATCCAGGCAAAACAAAGAAATAATTGATGGAGCCAAGGGATACTGGCTTCATAGGGCAGGCATCTGAAAAGCCTGTTAGTGCAGCAGACATCTTACAATATATTTGATCCTATCTTCAATATCTTGGGTGGAGAAGAGGTGTTGAAATCTGAGAGTCTCTGTTATGTAGCTTTTCCCCTTAGGTTTTTGTTTAAGTGGATAAGCAATGTTTGTATATTGCACTTTATTGCACTGATACAAGCCGAATTACTCAGATTTAATTGCTAAGCATCCAATTTTAAACTTCATTTTGCACAGTACCTCGGCAGCTTTTGATAGATGTTTAACCATTCAGGAAACAACGATCTCTGAATATTAAAGTAAAACAAATTGGTTTCACACTGGTGAGACTTTCTGTGTATGTGTGAATCTAGAGGTATATTTTGAATTTTCTTTCTCTAGCTGGGTGACTGTGAAATATAGAGATTCACTCAGGGCCTCACCTTCAGGCCCTTTGGGGGCTGTGGCTGCTGGCCCCACATCCCTCATACTTCTCATGCTTGATGTGTTAATTGCTATAGTTTCTATGGGGATCTTCCTCTTCTCTCTAATGGAATGGAAAATGTGTAGTTAGTCATAATACAACAGATTCAATTAAGCTAAATTATAGAAATGTTGAGGACGTGCAAAAGAAATTTTAAAATTTAGCCATGTTTTCATGTCTGAATTTAGACGTCTTTGTAAAGCTTACTATGCACAAGGCATGGATTATTGCTTTATTTAATCCTCATCAAACTTTATGGAGGTGTTGTTATCATACCTGTTTTAAATGAGGAAACTGAGGCACTGGGCGGTTATGTAATTCGTCCAAGGTCACACAGCTTATAGGAGGCATAAGTAGAATCTGAATCCAGACTGCCTGTGGAGACGTTGTGTGCTCCTAACCATTCTGCTGCACTCCTCAGAGCAAGTAACATAAATATTTAATAGCGAATCGCAGTAATTTTAGACCTCCTCTGTTGCATTTTCTTATTATCTAAGGCTATGAATAATTTGCAGCTACTCACAGAAAAAGACCAATGGTTCAGAGAAATTTTGGTCCCACTCAAGAGTACTACATGACTCTATGGATGGCCACTTCTCCAGATTTAACTGCCTTTATATAATGAAACTGTTGGTCCTACCAATATTTTATAGAAAGCAAAGCTGCAAATGAGTCTTAGACCATAGCCAGAAGTTCTGCTATCCCGGGACATAGTTGGAAGAGTCCGGATAGAGAATAAAATGAAGTTCGGTGTGTCCTTCCTAAGACCTACCATATTGTAAACTTGGGATGGTCACCAGTAGTCTCAATGACTGATTCCCATCTTGTGGCTTTGGAAAGCAGAAGAAATAGGAGCAGGAAGACATGATTCAGAAGGTTGAGGATAAACCTTCTCACACTTTACTGGGCTTATGAATATCCCAGAGATGTTAAAATGTAGATTCTTTTTTGTAGGTCTGAGGCGAGTCCAGAAATTCTGAATTTCTGTTAAACATCTAGAGATTGCTGATGCTACTGGTCCATGAACTACATTTTGAGGCAAGGATCTAGAATCAACCAGCAGCATCACCATCACCTGAAAGCTTGTTAGAAAGGAAGATTCTGGGGCCGGCCCAGTGGCGCAGCGGTTAAGTTCGCACGTTCCGCTTCTCAGCGGCCAGGTGTTCACCGGTTCGGATCCCAGGTGCGGACATGGCACCGCTTGGCACACCAGGCTGTGGTAGGCATCCCACATATAAAGTAGAGGAAGATGGGCACGATGTTAGCTCAGGGCCAGGCTTCCTCAGCAAGAAGAGGAGGACTGGCAGTAGTTAGCTCAGGGCTAATCTTCCTCAAAAAAAAAAAAAAAAAAAAAAAGAAAAGAAATTAAGATTCTAAGGTCCTACTCCAGGCCCACTGAAATCAGAATCTCTATTTTGACAAAACCTCCAGGTGATTTATACACACTTTAATTGTTTGAGAAACACTGGTCTAGAGTATTCTTCAAATGATGAAGATGGACGTAAATCATTAAACACACCTGCAAATGAACTGGCTCTGGTGGGAAGGCAGACAGAATAATATGAAATTTTCATTTGAAATTCCATTCAAGTCCTTCAAATACCTCTTTTTTTTGGTGATCACTTCAATTTCTGAGAAAGCCCTTGGATGCCCCATTCAAAGCTCATTTGCAAAGTTTATAAAATCTTTCATTTAAGAGGAGTTTTTCAACTCAAGTTGTTTCTCCCTTAGGATCAGGCTATAGCCCAAACACTTGAACATTTAGAATTTAGAAGAATGACAGGAATCTTTCCCACCAACATCTCCATCTCTGGATGGCAGAATCCTAAGTTCTGACTCACCTGCAGAACGCACTATGGCGTTGTCAGCCCTGATTGGGGATGGCCACCACCTTGCCCCATCCAGAAATGCCAGTGGGCTAGCATTGAACACCGACCCTTCTCATACCTGTGTTCAGGTCCCTTTGGGGGCAGAGGGACGTAGGTCTACCTCCTCCCTCAACAAGTCTGGTAGCTGCCGTGGTGGCAACTATTCTGGGGAAGGTTTGAGTGGTCAACGCTAGCTTGGCTGGGGCTCCAGGGGTCAGGGAACAGTGGGAACTGAGAACCCATCCCTGGAAGGTGAAGAGATGGCTGGAAGTGGGATCATGCCAAGGCTTCAAGCCTGCCAAGCATGCTCTATTGTCCCATTGAACTTCACTTACAAAACGCAAAATTCAAAGATCACATCATTATAAGAATTTCAAGATAGTGACTGCAGAGCATTAAATCCAAGGTGCAGGACACTTATGAGCATGAGGTCCTGTGCAGCTGCACTGGGTGAATACCTATGAAACTGGCCCTGACTCTGGAAATTGCCTGGTATTCTTGTGTTTGGGGAATTTATTCAGACTTGCTTGTACTGGTTCTCTCTGAAAGGCTAAATAACGTCAATGCTAATCAAATAGTCTAATGCAGTGGCTCTCCAAGTATGGGCCTGGCCCAGCAGCATCAGTATTACCTAAGAACATGTTGGAAATGCAAATTCTTGGGTTCTGCTTCAAAGTATGGAAACAGAATCTCTAGGGGTGGGGCCCAGCAACCTGTGACTTTAACAAGCCTCATGGTAATTCTAATGCAGGCAGAAGTTTAATCTAATGGTTCTGACCTAATAGTTCTGAAGCTTTCTGCTGAGGAAGAATTTTTTTTTAGCCACAAATTATTATTGCAGAATTCTCAACAATTATGTGGAGGCGGTAGTGGCAATAAGCTGTGAGCCACATGGGTATTCCCTACTCTTGCATGTTTTCTTCCAGTGTTAAGATCTGTCACGGTGGCTGAGAGTTGTAGGGCTCCTAATAGCTGTTTGGAGGTGCAACCCAGTTGCAGGGTCCCTAATAGCTACCTGCAGGTGGCAGGAGGGCTTATGTATTGAAGTAATCAGAGTATGCGTGAGAGAGACAGAGAACCTTTAGCTTAGTGGCTTTGTGTTGGGTTCCAACCCCAGAGAGACATCTGTTCAAATCCCGGCTCTCCCTGTAATCAAATGCTGAGGCCTCAGAAGAATTATTTCCTTTCTCTGAGCCCAGGTATCCTCATCCATAAAATGGAGGTAACAATAGTGATACCTACTTCCTGGGGTTCTTGTGAGGTTTGACTGAGCTAATGAGTGGAAGTCCTTATCATAGTGCTGGACACATAGTTGGCACTCAGCAGATGGTAGCTATTATTCAGAAAATAAAATTATTGCATACTGATATAAACATATGATAGAGTTAAGTATTTGTTAATTTGATTGGTAATGATGATTATTTGATTTAAATTGTGACGTCCTGTCAATGGAATGTATACACACATGTGATCCTTAACAATTCTGCTATCAGACCCTCTTTTCCTTCTTAGAGGATTTCCAGGGATTCCACTTGGCCCACTGGAGGGTTAAGTGTTCTTTCCTGAAGGACTAGAAGCTCGGTTCTTCCCTAGCATTAGCTTACTTTTGTGCTGAGCATACATTATTGGCATTTCATAGGCTTTCTTTCTCTTAGCACCTATGTATTTCCTAAATCAATGATTTGCAAAGTAAAAAGGATTCCCTTCAGTAAATATTTGCTAGGCAGGTCCATCTTCCCCTGGTTTGTACAGGGGCAAAGACTTCCTCTAAGCCTGGTGTTGAGGAGGACGGTGGTATATCGATTTGCTGCCTGCCACGTGCTACATCATCACATCAGTGATGGGGAGAGTGGGATTATCCCTGCTCAGCTTTACGTGGGCCTTTCTTTGTGTTCGAGTCTGAAAACCAACTACAGGCTAATAGTATTCTTCTTCTTGAATAATAAATGGAGATCAAGGTCTGCTTGGCTCTGAGTACAAGCAAAGTCGAGTGTGAGTTAAATATCAAGGCCAACAGGATTTTTTCGGCAAATAAACATTGCTTTTAGATTAGCTAAAAACCAAACAAAGAAAGCAGCGAAAAATAACCCAAACCCCAAATGATTCAACAGTAAGAGAATACTCTCTTTAGGGACTTTGGGTCCCAGGTGGCATGCATCTGGATGCCTTTAGTGTTGCAAGACTTTTAATGCTAGGGGCTGAAAATAGTTCAACCCAGATCTTGCTGGTATCGATTTCCCTCATAGTGATTTAGTGCAGGGCCTCTTGGCATCTCTCTACCACTTCTAGCAGCTGAGCTTTGGCCCCAGAGGGCTTTATTTAATGAAAACTTGGGGCTTATACTGTGAGAAAGCTGACCCAGGAATTGAAGTTTTAGACATCTCGATGGAGAAAACATGAAGACAAGAGTCATGTGGCTGGGTCCGTCCAGGGAATGGGATGATGATATGAAGCCTTCACTAAAGTATTTATTTGAAAGAGAAGAGGGAGCAGCAGCCCTCAAGTGACTGGTGAAAGTTAACAGAAGTCCTTGTTACTGAAAGATAAAGTGCTTACATGAAATATGTGCAAAAGTTGCACTGGGAGAGGAAATCAGAGGGGAGAGGAGCCACATATTAGAATTTTGGAGAAGACTGTCTGGCTGTGTGTTAGAGCCTGGTTACAGACAATGATGGCCTTTAGGGAGAGTTAGACAGGAGCATTTTCTAAAAATAAACTTTTTATTTTAGAACAATTTAAATTTACAGAAAAATTGTGAAGATAGTACAGAGATTTCCCATGTACCCCACACCCAGTTTCCCCTATTAGTAACATCTTTCATTACTCTGGTACATTTCTTATAATTAACAAACCAATATTGAAAAATTATTATTAACTAAAGACCATCCTTTATTTAGATTTTCTTCGTTTTTACCGAATGTCCTTTTTCTGTTCCAAGATCTCCTCCATATTACATTTAGTTGTGCTGTCTCCTAAGGCTCCTCTGGGCTGGGATAGTTTCCCAAATTTTCCTTGTTTTTGATGACCTTGACAATTTTGAGGAGTACTGGTCAGATGTTTAATCAAATTCCCCTTGGTTGGGGACATGGAATTTGTCTTGTGCTTTTCTCATGATTAGCTGAGATTATGTATTTTTGGAGGAAGACCACAGAAGCGAAGTGTCATTTTCATCACATTGTTTCAAGGGTATATACCACTCACATGACCTGTCATTGTTGATACGAGAGGAGCATTTTTTTTTTTTTGAGGAAGATTAGCCCTGAGCTAACTGCTGCCAATCCTCCTCTTTTTGCTGAGAAAGATTGGCCCTGAGCTAACATCCATGCTCATCTTCCTCTACTTTATATGTGGGACGCCTACCACAGCATGGCGTGTGAAGTGGTGCCACATCCGCACCCAGGATCCGAACCGTCAGACCCCGGGCAGCGGAAGTGGAACGTGCACGCTTAACCGCTGCGCCACCGCGTCGGCCCCTAACAGGAGCATTTTTAATGGAAAACTCTGAATTGGAACAGGTATTGAGTGTTGGGAATTAAGTAGATTTTACCCTCCAAATATGGTATATTTCAGTGGAAATTAAAAGGGACACATTAATGAGCCATCAGTATTAATGAACCACATCAATACCGAGCTGATGATGATTTTTACAAGGAAGAAAATAATCTTGCTTCTCATAAAAAAAGAAGTAAAAAACAAGCGAACATTGGGAAGAATGGAACTTATTTGACCCCAGTTCCAGTTGCAAACTGAAAGGGTTCCAGTTTCTCAAACTGGTTTTCACTGAGATAGCCTGGAAAAAGAACTGGACCTTGCGTGAGAGCAGATCTCGAAACCGTAAGTCTGGAACTGAGAGACTCCACCCATTCAGAAATGAATCATTAAACAATGAGAGATTTAGGAATCTCTCAAATAAGTTCTGATTGTTCCAGGGTATAGATCTTCAGAAACTAGCTGGACAGTGGTCTGTCTCTCTGTAGCTCACCTGTTCAGGGTATTAACATTCTTTTTAAATTTTTGTACTTTCAATGTGTAAGTTCTTCACCTCGTCTGTGTCAAGGACTTTGTGCAGTTTGTACAAGCATTACACTTTCAGGCCCTTGTGCCTCAGAAACTGTGTCTTGAGTTACTTTAGCAAGTCTAGACAATGCTTCTCATGACTGGGGCTCTAAAGTCACCCACTTGAGTAATTGGAATGAAAATAACCATGAAGGACTAAAATGCATTCCTGCTGATGGCAATGGACACACTTCTGGATTGTTGAAG